CCCACTGACCTCTGGGGAGAGGGGCAGGGGAGGAGGGTTGGAGGCTGAGTCAGCTGCCAATGGCCAATGATTTAATCAATCATGCCTATGCAATGAAGCCTCCATAAAAACCCAAAAGGACAGAGTTTGGCAAGCTTCCAGGTTGGTGGCCATGTGGAAATGAGTGCCCCTCCCCACACACCTTGCCCTATGCATCTCTTCCATTGGGCTAATTGTGAGTTATATCCTTTTATAATAAATGAGTGGTTTACTAACTAAAATGTTTTGCTGAGTTCAGTGAGCTGTTCTAGAAAATTAATCAAACCCAAGGAGAAGGCCGTGGGAACTCCTGATTTATCGCCAGTTGGTCAGAAGTACAGGTGATAACTTGAGCTTCTGACTGGCATCTGAAGCGGTGGGGTCGGCGAGAGTCCTGTAGAACTGAACCCATAACCTGTGGAATCAGATATTCTCTCCAGGTAGTGTCAGGACTGAGTTGAATTCTCAGAAACCCTGCTGGTGTCCAAGAATACTTTGTCGGATTTGTGGTGACCCCATCCCCACTCCGAACACACATACACACACATTGAAATTGCGTCTCAGAATACCAAGTCTCTCATATCTCTGCCTTTGCTCTTTGTTTCTTCTAATTTCACCCTCATTACCTGAATATCAATGCCAAAATTCAGTCCATTGCTTGAAATTTATCTCAAGGCCACTCCCTCCATGAAGTCTCTGCTGATCTCTTCAATGAGTGTGATTGTTCCTTCTCTTGAACCCTTAAGGTGTGGATGTTCACGTTCTTGTGTATGCTCTCTATACTCTCTTACAAAGGGGTTCTTAACTCATTCTCAGAATCACTTGGGATGCTCCCTAAAATTATGTATGCCTGTGCCCTACCCCAGAGATTCGGACTTGGGGGCTGGAGTGGAGCCCACTTATCTGTATTTTTTTTATATTTATTTATTTATTTGGCTAAGCCCAGTCTTAGTTGCAGCACACAGGTTCTTCCTTGTCGCATGCAGGATATTTAGTTGCAAGCATGCATGTGGGATCAAGTTCCCAAACCAGGGATTGAACCAAGGACCCCTGCACTGGGAGCTCGGAGCCTTAGCCACTGGACCACCAGGGAAGTCCCACACTTATCTGTATTTTTAATACTGACTCTGATGTAGAGCCAAGACTGAGAACTATTGCCTTATTTTGAATTTTTCCTCACTGAGAGAACAAAGGAGAGATGACCAGGAAAGATAAATGGAAAGGTATGTTGGAATCAGATCTCTAGACGTCACTTTCCTTATGTTTAAAATGGGGATAATAACCCCTTCTTCCTTGCATTATTATGAACCTAAAGGGAGATAATATATAGCCAACATCTCAGGCTGAGTCCTAAGAGTGAAGACACCACACACATTCCCTCACTTGACAGTAAAGACTGCCAGCTTAGTGCAGTGTTTAGTACGTGATGGCTTGTGTGATTTTTAACTTAACCATTTATACTCTGTGTGAAGGGTGTGTAACTTACACACATATGTTCCCTGGCTGCTCTGAGCGCTGGATGCTGAAGGAAGCTGTATGGAAGTTACTTCATCACTCAGTGGCTTAACCTTGAAGCACTTCTCTTTCTGGAAAAGAGGAGCTTTTCAACATTGCTAACTCCACTTATAGCATGGACATAAGAACGATCATGGCCATAACTTCATCACACTCACAATACAGGGAAGAGGGCACAGGAGGGTTTACACGGAGCTCCCACATACACTCTCTCATCCAATCCTCCTGAGGCCATACGAGGGAGATGTTAATGTCCCAGTTTTATAGATGTGGAAGTTGAGGCTCAGAAGAACTTAGATGATTTGCTAAAAGTTACATAAGTAGGAAGTGGCAGAACTACAATTCGAACCCAGTTAGTGTAATTTCACATCTGATGCTCTTTACCTTCACCACAACTGACCCCAACAATTATCTGTTCATTTGATCGGGGGTAGAGACGTCCATTCTGATCATCACAGTTCAAAACCGCTTGATGCAGAAGACATTTTGCCTGTGAATGAATCAAAGGTCCACCTGCATCACTGGGTAAACTTCTGTACTTAGTGTGTGCTGTTTCCTCTACCGCTCACATTCCCCATTGGCAAACTCCCACTCAGCTTTCAAGATTCAGCACACAGGAGCACCTCCAGGTAGCTTTCCCTGCTGCCTATGCCCACTCCAGCTAGCTAGACACATTCTTCTCCTTTTTTCTTTCTTTTAAACTAAAGAGAAAACAAACTATATCTATGCAATCAGTTCCTTCTTGTTGGGCTGAAAAAGCAAAACTAAGCTGTAAAATTACAAGTTGCTACCTCTGCTATGGAACAGCACATCGGGTGATCAGACAAGGTTGTTATCTACAGGGGGTGGCATTATGGAGACAGAATGGTCCTCCATTGTCATTCATTGTCTCTGTCCAAAACTAAATTTCCACTGTCTTTTTTACTTGCTCTGAAATTCATATTATGGGGATCAAAGACTTCATTAAAAAAAAAAGTTAGCTCGTTTGTCTTTTTTTTTTTCTAGTAAGAAATTGGCTTAAATGGCCCCTAAGTGCACACTAAAATGGAAATGACTGATAGCTGGTCTTTTCCCAGAAGCAGGTTTTCAGAGGAGAGAGAGCCTGAGAGAACTCTGGGTTCCAGGCACCAGAAGAAGGGAGGTGCAGACACTGTGGAGGTGAGGGGAGGTCAGGTGTAGAGAAAGAATTCAGAAAGCGGAAGGCAGAGGCTCTGAAAACAGGTGTGGCTTTCTCCACCAGGTGTGTTCTGGTTTTTAACACAACATTTACACAAACACTAGAAAACTGAGTTTACCAAAGTTTGGGATTCTTGTCTAAATTGTGTCCCATTATGTTCAGGAGAAAGTACATTTATAAACCTTATAAACAAGGTAGTGAATCAAAATAACTCAACATAGGGTAGACAAATATTAAGGCATTCTCATTTAGGAAGAAAAGGTTTTTTCACTAAAGATCTAATGCAGAGGAAGCCACATCATGACTAAGTTGTGTACCCAGGGAAGGTTAACATGATCATGACCTTGGAACTGCTTGAACAAATTGGAAAAAACTAGCACATGAGGACAAGGAATAGATCCCCAAATCTCTGCACATCCACATTCTACTTTTTCTTTGAGGACAAGTTCACATGCTACATCCTTCATGAAGCATTCCCTGATTCTACCTAACCCAATCATTGTACTTTCCTCCAGACTCCCACAGTATTTCATCTGAACCACTATTAACTTATCTCCAATAATCTAGTACCCATCACAGCACCTGGCATACAATAGATGTCAGGAAATATTTCTTGAGTGAATGTAAGAATCTACATCATAAACATTCGTCTGCTATCCGGATAGGTTCTAACCCAAGACATATTTCTTTGGATTGTCTAAAAGGCTCCTAGGAGACTCCAGGAGGGAAATGAACCACCTACCATAGCATCTCAAATAATATATTAACACATGTTATACATCATACCTGTTGACATATACATTTATGCACAGGAATACCTGCCCTTACAGAATACAGTTGGCCCTTGAACAACATAGGTTTGAACTTCATGGGTCTACTTATACCTGGATTTTTTTCAATAGTAAATACTACAGTACTACATGATCAGCACTGTTGAATCTGCTGATGTGGAATCATGGATACAGAGGAACTGTATCCATGATGTATACAGAGGGCTGACTATAAACTATATGCAAATTTTCAGTTGCACAGAGGGTCAGCACCCCTAATCCTCCCCCTTGTTAAGGGTCAACTGTATATATAAATATATGTAAATGAATGTATACAAAGACTGTGTATGGTAACAATCTACATGCACATAGAGTCAGAATAAGTGAGACCAGGTGACACAATTTGAAAGCAGGCCCAAGGGCCTCTGATCAATACAGCCGCTACATAGCCACGTTGCCTGAAAGTCCTCTCAGGGTCTTTTCCCTTGGGAGTGTACAAGGCATCTCATGCTCACTCCCCCTGTCTTCTCCATGAACACAAGCCAAGGCCTCCCAGTTGTTACAGCCCTGGAGCTACTGCTTCACCGTGGGCCAGCCGGGTGCTGGAGTGGAAGACTAGAAAACAGGGCCTGATGTGGTAGCTGCCAGCTCAGCCTCTAAACATACCCCCTACCATTGAATCCTGGCTCCTCCATAAGGTTGGCATGTGATTTATATAAGCCATCTCACTTCTCTGGATTTTCTTTATATCTGCAAAATGCAGATAATAATAGCATCTACCTCCCAAGGTCTTGTGAGGATGGACTGAGGTCGTATACATACAGCATGTAAGTCTGGGACATAATAAATATTTAGCAAATGATCATTATATCATTACCATCAGTATTGGTTTCTTTGTCTTTCCCATGCAAAATCCAGCTTGCAGGAAACACATTGACGCTAAAACCACATCCTCCAGAAACTGCTTTAGGACCCCCATATACATCCAGCTTTGTCACGACGCACACAAGCACACATGTTCCTCACCTACAACAAGGGTGGGTAAGTGCAGAGCTTCTCTAGTTAGGCTCCTTAGCCCCAAGATACCTACCACTAATCAAACAATATTCTACTGCATAAATTAATACAGCCTCAGCATCTGACATGCCCAGAAAATGTAACTGCTGTTCATTAACTTCAGAATTAGTCTCTTATTCCTTTTCCTTGACCAGACAATTTTGCAAAAGTAAATATCTAAAAACCCCCAAAACAGAGCAGCAAATTGTACTTTTTTTTCCATTGAAAGACTCCCCTATTTGGGGGTACTAGATCACATTATAACATTGCAAAACTGTCAGAGCGTAATTAACCCGTGTTGCTTCACATTCCTGATGTGGCAATATGTTTAAGACAGGGCTTTATAAAGGACCAATTGAAAGCAGTGAGTGACATGGGATGCTCTGAACTTCAGGGTACCCATCAGGAGAAGGGGCAGAAGGAAGGCCAGGAGAGGTAGTTTTTGAAGACGAGGCCATGTTCAGTCTGAAGATGCTTCCACTTCTGCTGTTACTCCACGTGCAGCTTTCCAAGGCCTTTCTAGTACATTCTGAATTCCTAGAAGAGAAAACTACAAAAATTGTTCAGGTAACTCAACTATCAATTAGGTGGGCAGTTGATTTGCTGGTGATGAGGAAATTGTTTGGGTTCTCTTCTCTTTTTAGTTAAAGCAGCCTGAAAGAATTATGTGAAAGATTTGTTTGAGGTTAAACGTCTGGTTTCAATGATTTGGAGTGTTCCAAGCTGGGCCCTCTGAAAGCCAGGCATGCAAACAAGCTGGGCTCTTCAAACCCTCAGAAAATACTGCTGCCAAGCTGCTGCAGCTGGAGAAAACTTTTAGAAGGAATGGTTTTAATTATAAAATGATTTTCTTTCTCACTTACCTAAGATTTTCCCTTCTGGTGTATCTGCAACACAGTTACTACATGACTGGTGCTTTCTACATGGACTTGTTTTGCAGCCAAAAATCTCAGGTGTACATAGAGCGCGAGGACGGGAAACTCTAAGGAACTAGAAATCAGTTCATAGTGTAATCATATTTCCTAAAACCAGGTTATGGGGCTGTTTGTAAACTCTTGAAAGCACTGTAAAAGCAAAACTGATAACTTCTCTCCATTGTTTCACAGTATGAAAGGCCAAATTTTTAAAGAAACACAAGGGAATGCTGTCAGAAATTTGTCATGCACAATTTTCTTAGCATTACAGTTTTAGAAAAGCATTTCTTCTTGTTGATATTTTTCTTTCACTTAAAAAAATATATTTCTTACAATGATAACAGTAACCCATGGGCTAATAGAAGTGATTAAGTACTTACTCTGTACAAAGCGCCCTGCTCAGCGTTTCACAAACATTGTCTCATACCATCCTACAACAATCCTATGAGGGCAGCGGATTATTATTTCCACTTTAGAGACAAATGTGAATCTGAAGTCATCTAAGTGATGTGTCCAAGGACACAAAATTAATCTGTGGCAGAGCTAAGATTTGAACCCAAATCTATCTGATCTCAAAGCCTGTGTGAGCACAAAATTGCTCTGTCCTGTGTCACTTGCAAAGTGCCACTTAAGGATGCTTAAGGTGAGAGAAAGAAGTTTCATGATTAGCTTGTTAACACCCCTCAGAACCTTCTTAATGAGTTTTGGCCCCTCCCAAAGAGTTACTGTGGTGGATAAAATGCTAATGACAGTGATGCTGCTGTTGCCCCAAAACATGTTTGGAATTCTTCTTTTGAAGATGTTAATTCTCATTTGAGAAGCAACATGGTGAATTGGGACCTGATTATCTTCTTGGCAAGTTCCTTATTTCTCTGCATCTTCATGTCTTAATATGTATGATTAAACCTTCTCTACAGTAGTGAAAAGAGGATTAAAAAATAGAATCTGCATTGCTGCAACTAATGCTTCAAGGAGTTTGATTAGTGGTAGGTATCTTGGGGCTGTTTTGTTTTTTTTTTTTTTATTAAAAATAAAAAGGCAGTCTCCTGACTGTGTACTAGCATTTTGCTTGAGGATGTGGAACTCATCCCTTATGAAATACCTATTTTTATGCATAAATATTAACTGTAGCACTGAATGGATGGACTGTTCTTTCCAGTAGGCAATGTTCTCTCCAAGTCAACCAGAAAATTTGTGCTTTTATCTTTGTGACTATCAGGTTATTAGTTTTGGTTTGACCTCTGCAATAACTTAAAAAGGAATGCAAAATGCACAGAGAACTGAAGGAAATTTCACAGCAAATCTGTTACATGTTTGACTTTCTCCAGAATTACCTAGAAAAGTTCTACCAATTACCAAGGTACAAATATCAGTCTGAAAGGAAGAACAGCGCTAGTGTGATTGTTGAGAAGCTTAAAGAAATGCAGCAATTCTTTGGGCTGAACATAACAGGGAAGCCAAATGAGGAAACCTTGGAGATCATGAGAAAGCCTCGCTGTGGAGTGCCCGATACTGGCAATTTTATGATAACTCCAGGAAACCCCAAGTGGAAACAAACTAATCTGACCTACAGGTAATATTTCTAGAGTTTGAGAATTCACTCATTCAGCCCATGTTCACTGAACACTTATGATGTGTCAGGCACTGTTCTAGGATTCGGAATACACTAGAGACAAACAAATGAATAAATATCCCTGCTCTTGTAGAGTTTAGATTCTAGTGACTGAGTATGAGAATGAAAGGGTAAAGATCCCATGGGTTCTTTTCAATCCAAAGCCTGCCATTTTTGTCTTCTTTCTCTATCAATCTAAAGAGGACTATGGCAATGTTAGGCTGTCTCTCTAAGAATTCACTTTAGGACCCAAAAAAGGCTTAATCATTGCTGGAGAGAATCTAGCCCCACCATTCATGCATCTTGATGATAATAACAATAATAATGATACCCAATGCTTGTTGAATACTACTATTTGCCAAGTAGTGAACTAAATGCTTTACATACATTTAATCCCACAACAACCTTATGAGAGGGGTACTATTTTATTATCCTCATTTTATGAATAAGGAAACTGAGTTTAAAGACATGTAGTAACTGGTCCAGAACCTACGTCTGTCTTCAACCCTAAGTCCTGCACCCCTCCTTGCACCCTCTTCAGTGGTAGCACATCACATATGCACAAACTCCAAACTAGAGCAATTCAATCTACTGATGGACTACTGTTCTAAACAATAATGAACCCTTCACACACCTTCTCATTTTGAAGGATTATTAACTATACCCCAGACTTGTCAGAGGCTGAAGTGGAAACAGCTCTTGAGAAAGCCTTTAAACTCTGGAGTCGCGTGTCACCCCTGAACTTCACCAAGACCTCACAGGAAGAAGCAGATATCAAGATTGCCTTTTTCCAAGGAGGTAGGCTCAAAGCAGTCATGCTCGATTTTGCTTTCCCTGGCTAAACTGAGACTTGGCAAATACCTAATACAAATCGTTTTATTTCAGATCATGGGGACAATTCTCCATTTGATGGACCCAATGGAATCCTTGCTCATGCCTTTCAGCCAGGCCCAGGTATTGGAGGAGATGTTCATTTTGATGCAGAAGAAACATGGACCAAAACCTCCAGAAGTAAGTTAACCAAGGTTATGTCCACATGCAGCTTCTAAATGAACTTTTGCACATTAGAATTTGCCCTCCTACACACACACACACACACACACACACACACACACACACAGCCAAGTTATTGTAACATTTCACACTCACACAAACTGATCATTTAAAATTCTTGCTACCTCAAGATACTAAGTTAATTTAGGTTTAGAAAAAATCCTGAAGCTAAATTCTGACCTTGTTTCCTAAGGCAGGAATCAGAAAACAACAGATCATGGCTAAGTCCTTCCTGGTCCTATTTGTATAAATAAAGTTTTATTGGAACAGGGCCACATACTCTTTTGTTTATGTATCATCTATGGCCGCTTTCATACCACAATAACAAAGCTGAGTGGTTGACACGGAGACCATACAGCTCATAAAAATCTAAAATATTTACTATCTGGACTCTTATAGAAAAAGTTTGCTTACCACTGCTTTAGGGTGTATATTTTAATATTGTGAAATTTAATGATGTTTGAAAAAGATTCCTATTTTTGGAAATTCAGAAATAATTGGTTTATTTAGAAAACTGACCTATTTAGGAAAGAGCAGCCATCTAGTTATTCTCGTTCATCTGGTGATTTCATCTTCGTGGAGCTCTTTTTCAATGATACGTTTCCATATAGCAAACTACCCCTTTCAGGAGAAGACTCAGAGTAAGAAGAAGACCACCTGAAGGGAAGAACTGAGAATAATGAGAGGTATATTCAGACCATATGGTACTTTACAAGGCTACAGGGTAACAAGAGGCCAAAGAACACTTTTTAGAAAATAATAGGAAAGGAGCCTTTTACCATTGCTTGGGACCTGTTCCTCCCACCATTTTCTCAACATAAATGTTCTGAGTGTTTATTCTACCTAAGTCCCTGTGCTAGGAGCTGTGAGTACCAAAAGATAATAAACACTCCCCACGACTTTGCATTCCTATTGCCCTCCCCACTAGTTCAGACGGTCATTACCTCTTACCTGAATTAACTGGTCCAGATTCCCACCTGGACTGTTCACCTCCGATCTTGGCTCCCTCTAATTTTCCCCAGCACTGTAAGAAGTTTTGCCCTTGGAAAGCCCATCTTTACATTTGGAAAGCCCAGTGTTTACATTTTCCAGACCAAATATGTCCACATACCTTCACTTGACACTGAAAGCTCTTGGAGATCTTCCAAACTCATCTTTCGTGGCTTGTCTTCATATTTCACACACAGCAGTCACATGGCACATTCACTGTTTCTAGATCACACCATGTGCTTTCCAACTGCCCTACATTTGCTCACATTGCTTCCTCTTCCTGAAACGCCTTTCCCCACACCTTAAGCCCCACCTTTCAAAATCCCTCTTTTCCATGCTACGTCGAATGCCACCCCCATCCTGTCTTTCAGCTGGAAATGAAGCCTTCCTCTCAGAATAAAAACAGCCTTGATTTTTTCTTCTCTAACTGCCCTCCTCATTATTCTGTGCATTCTATTTGTTTGCACACATCTCCCCTTTTCGTCTATGCATCATGACAAATCTCCCAGAGCCCCTTGCCCAGTACTCCAGACACTCAAAGATGTTTTTTAAAGCATTTACGAATGCAAAATGGAAGGATGTGATGATCAAGAAAGAAAGTCTTGGAGCATGGGTAGAATATTACAAGGCTAATTATCATCAGGAAGTTGAACATGGTGATAAGAACACAGGTCTTGCCATCATACCTGGGTTCAACCCCAGCTCTACCACTTATTAGTTGCAAGGCCAATATAACAAGGTATTCAAAAATCTCTGGGCTTCAGTTCCTTTATCGTAAAAGTAATCTAACAATTCTTCATAAAAATGTTGTTAAGATTAAATATTATTACAATTCCTAGCATATAATAAAGTGTTGTACAACTATGATTGTTTTTTAAGTAAACATGTAAGAAAATGCACCGTGTGTTTGTGAAATGGCACATAGACTAGCTGGAGTGAAGGATTCACATCAGAAATCTAGTCCTCAAATGTCTGCTGGAGCCAAATGGAGTAGTCTTGAACTTGGCAAAGGAGCTCGGGCTTTATTTGGCAGGAAGTGCAAGCCTTGAAAGTTTTTAAGCTCCCAGTTATGAAAGGCACTATGCTCATGGAAGTTAAAAGATAAGGGTAGCAAGCAATAAGAAGCAGCGTTTGTCTCTTTCTGGTGGAAAATTCCTGAATCTTCCTGGAGAGCTCAGAATCAAGGAAGAGCTGGTGCTGAGTGGTCAGGGAGCCAAAGTGAGTCAGCTCTGCATCTGAGGCCACTCTTGCTGCCTGGCAGACTGAGACTCTCCTCATGGGGCTGTGGGCCTGGGAGACTGGAGAGGGGTAGGGGTGGGTGCATGGGAGGAGAGGGCTTTTGAGAGTCATGAGACCTGTGATGGCCCTGCCATCATTTGCCTGAGCCCCAGGCCCATGAAATATGGGAATTGGAATAAAAGCAGCAGTCTTTCTTGGTTCTAAGATTTGGTGAGGACCTCATACTCACCTAATCTTAACCTATAGCCCCTACCTTGATTTCTTCCAATCTCCATTTCTTCAGGTACCTGAAGAGAAAAGGAAAAAGGCAGGCATGGGAAAGGCTGTTTCTCCAGGGAGTTTTGGCTCAGAAGCTGCATTCCTTGAGATCCTATTTCCACCACCCTTCAGTCTACTTGGAGCCATTCACCACACATGCTTGCATTTCAGATTACAACTTGTTTCTTGTTGCTGCCCATGAATTTGGCCATTCCTTGGGGCTGGCTCATTCCTCTGACCCTGGTGCCTTGATGTATCCCAACTATGCTTTCAGTGAGCCCAGCACCTACTCGCTCCCTCAAGATGACATCAATGGCATTCAGGCCATCTATGGTAAGGTCATCTGAAGAGCAGCAGTACCTGGTGAGACCTGGCCATGTCAGGGACGTTCATTGCAGTCTTGGCCTTGGTGATCGAAGTTAGAGGGCACCTGGGAGTCCATCGGGAGGAGAATATATGCGTAAAATATGGTGAATGCCTGCCATAGAGTAATGTACAGCACTGAGAAGCACTGAATCAGATGTACATAGATGAGTCTTTAAAACATTGTGCTTCCTGGAAAAGAAAGAGAATGATACATGTTACTCAGTGTATAAATTACATAATACATGAATCTACACAAATTAAATATGTATATAGACAAAGCAAGGCATTTTCAAGAAACATGCTAACAAACATATATATTGAACATATCAAGATTGTTGTCTGTGGGGGAAAGAGGGGAGTGGGGATGGAGTATGGAGAGAAAGAAACATCTTTTAAAGACAGGACTGATACTTTTCAGGGAGGGATATAGAGGCCTTTGCCTCTGTCTAAGTATTGTCTGATAAGACCATTGCATCTCTCTTTCCTCTTGCCCTCCTGCCCCCTAGTGGCTGTAATAACAAGAAACCAGAGAAGAGGTTTGCAGCTCTCTAAAAATAAAAAAATTTTTTAAATGTTTTCTTGATTGGAAGGGAGTGTCGTGGAGTCGAATTGTGTAAAACATTCTCCCTCTCTGGTTGGACAGCAGTACAAAACGAAGCATGCCAGGGCCCCACAACTACGAATTTTATTCATGACAGTAGAATTTTCAGGGATGATGAGACCTAGTCTAACTGCCTCTACTCCCCAATTCCTTTTCCCCTGAAAACACCTCCCTTTCTCACTCGCCCATATTTGAACTGTTAGCAGCCTTTCATTCTACAATGGGAAAATACATTAAAATTTAAATACTTATAGAAAAAAATATTGCTACATTTTGCTTTAGATTTATGCTGTGGGGGCCTCTTTCCAGAAGGTGGATTTTAGTGAGAAAGGAGAAAGTAGATATTGAGTGACTAAAAATGCAGAAAGAGGAGGCAAGAAGGGAAAGAAGCATGGGATTCTAATTTTGAACTGGCAGAGGGGAGGGGGAAGAATTCAAATTTCTTTATTTCACAACTTAGCTTGGAACTCTCCCTAACGCTACCATTACTCTTTTATTTTTGTTTCATTTTTTTTTAATTGGGGAATAGTTGTTTTGCAATGTTGTGTTAGTTTCTACTGTACAGCGAAGTGGAGTTCTCTGTGCTATACCTCAGGTTCTTATGAGTTATCTATTTTATACATATTAGTGTATATATGGCAATCCCAATCTCCCAATTAATCTTACCCCCCTCTTTTATTTTTTAATTTTAAAAAATAAAACTTTTAAGAGGGCCTAATGTGTGATTACTTTAATGTCTTATAGGATAGTCAGCTAGCATTTCTTTTCATATGAAGACCCTTCACCAACCTGAGAAGTAACTGAAATACACCAAAATTCACCCTGGACTCATGCTTATAAAAAGTCTTTTTACTTTCAGGACCTTCGAGCAACCCTGTGCAACCTACTGGACCAACCACACCCACAGCCTGTGACCCCAGACTGACATTTGATGCTATCACTACACTCCGTGGAGAAATACTTTTCTTTAAAGACAAGTATAAGAATGAACTATTCCTTCCTTTGACTTCTTTTACTGGCATAACTTAAAACTGGATTCTAATTAAGTCACATATTACACATTACCCAGCTTTTCCTTTGAATTCTATGCATACGAATCTCGTTGGAATTGATAGTGCTTTCTGGGTAAATCAAAACATCCAGGAAAAGAAAAATAAAAGCTAAAACATCTGTAAGCATTTAGATGTTTGTGATGATGTAAACAGACATGGACTCTAGCTGCTGGGAACTCTATAGCTGGGTTTACCCAACACCAAAATAGCATTCAATTCCACCCAAATTCATTCAAGTGAATGGAAACTGTCACTTAATAAGCTGCAGGGAAAATCATCTGACTGAATTTTTCAATTTTCCATTGGCATTCTATGATTGTGCACTCACAGGCTGAGTGTACTTGTATTGCTTTTGCTAGAATATTCTAAATATTCTCATCATATTGTAGCAACAATAATGAAAGAGACTAACAAAATAAAACTTGTCAATGTGTGAGGAGGAGGGCAATGTAAAATGTAATCAAATAAGGTCACTCCTAGCAGCTCGTCTGAAAACTGTAAAGTACTCACCAGATGGACAGTATCACCGTGAAGTGCTGGCCATATGCTGGTCACTGTGCTGGAAGCATTGCCTTCACTGTATGTTATATCCTCCCAGCAATCTTATAGGATCAATACCAGCCCAAGACTCACAGAAGCTGCCTGCTTAGACTATTGTGTGTGGTTTTCTCCCTTGTGTTCCATTAGGTACTTCTGGAGAAAGCATCCTCACCTACGAAGAGTCGAACTCAATTTCATTTCTCTCTTCTGGCCATCCCTGGTAAATGGTATACAGGCTGCTTATGAGGATTTTGACAAGGACCTAATTTTCGTATTCAAAGGTAACTGCCTAAGGTTTTCATCTTATTTTAGTTCCTCCTGAAGGGAAGGGCAGGACTTCTTTGTGGACCCTTCCAGGTTCAAGGAGGTGAGTCAAGGAGAGAGTGTTAGGCTAGCTGGGCTTTTGTCACGAGACCTGGGTTGGGTCGCATCTCCACCACTAAATGCTGTATGAACTTGAGCATGTTGTACCTTCTTCAGGCATCAGTTTTCTCATCTACAAAATGAGAACACTTTATTAGACCACCTTTAGCCTTCCTCCACCCTCATCCCAGATATAATTTTCTAAGATTCCCCAAGGCTCTAGTTCTCTGTATAGAAGTTACATGAGATAAGACGTTCAAGTGTGGGGCCCTGAGTGTCAGGCTAAGAAGTCGGCAATGTTTTACAGGTTCCAGGAAATCACTAGAGTTATCATAGCCCAATGGTCTTGACTTTACCACCTCTATCTTTTCAAGACTATTTTTTCCATTTTCATTTCTATGATGAATTTATGCAAAGATTAAGAATTGGTATACATTTTGTAGGAATGGAAAAACTTTATCTAATATATAACCTGAATCATTGGCAGGCAATCAGTACTGGGCTCTAAGTGGCTATGATATTCAGCAAGGTTATCCCAAGAATATAGCAAACTATGGCTTCCCAAGCAGTGTCCAAGAAATAGATGCAGCTGTTTCCTACAGGGGAAAGACATACTTCTTTGTAAACAACCAATTCTGGAGGTAAGATAAACTATTTTTTCCATTAGAAATTGAAATCTGTGTTTCTTTACCCTCTTTACAAACCATCATTGATTAGGCAACTGAAGGTTAAAAATATCTAGGTGGTCTCTGATAGGCATTCTTTTTCACAAGATGATTGATGTCGCTCTGGCTTTTGAAAATTTTACAAAGTTAAGATTCCTGCACAATGGTATTGAGGATTCTATATCCTGAAACAGAGCAAACTTTAATAAAACACTAAAATGGGACGCAAAGAAAGAGTTAGGCTAATTCTCATTTATTCATTAAATTCTAAGAGTTAAATTCTACTACACTCAAGCAAATGTTATACAGAACTTGATTCACAACTTGAAATTATTATTTATATTTATTCAGATAGAGAGAGACTATGAACTAATTAAGTAAAAGCCTTAGAACATATAAGCTCTCCTTTTTTAAAATAACACTGCCCCAACAATCAGAAGCCTGTTTTCGTATTAGTGATACCCATATATTTTATAAATATGTATGTACCCTTAGGTAGAGAAGTTAACCACTGTTAGTTTCCCAGTAAATAGGACATTGTGAAGAACAAATGAGAAAATATGTGTGAAGGCATTATGTAAAGTACATACAATTTAAATAAAACTATTAATCACTGTACACTGTATTGGTCTTAAACGTGGGACAATTATTTTTTCTCATCAGATATGATGACCAAAGTCAATCCATGGAACCAGGTTATCCCAAAAGCATAGCAAGTAGCTTTCAAGGAATAGAAAGTAGAGTTGATGCCGTTTTCCAGAAGAATTGTAAGTAGAAGAAAAAAAAAACTTAATAAATTAAAAAAAAAATTTTTAAGTAGCTCATTTGCATTGCAAAGTTATATTAGGACAGGAGTGGGGTCTTTTTAATTGAAAACATCCAAGATCTGCTACAAGCTAATTCAATACATTATATCTTTTTTTTTTTCTTATAGCCTTCTTCCTTTTCTTCAGTGGACCAAGATATTATGCATTTGATCTTAGTGCTCATAGGATTACTAGAGTTGAAAGAAGCAATAGATGGCTTAACTGTAGATAAAGCCGAAGCAAAATCAAGTGTGTTTGTGTCCATTTTCTGAATATGGAAGGGAGATCTAATCTGCATATCTATTACATTGTGTCCTATTTATACTTTTCTCAACAATAAGTAATATTGTTTGCTCTCACTGTATTCATTGGACTGATCCTCACTGAAAATACGTTTGCAGTATTCCACTGTTTGCAGAGGCTGATTTTGTCCTATATTCCATCTCAGGTTAGTGAATCCATCACAAGGAGAAGGAAATTAAGCCTTCTTTGCCACCTCAATATTCATTGTTTCATCACTTGCTATTTGACTTCTAAAATGCCCATTTATTCTTAAGTCTTTTAAATATGTCTTAAGTGTAACTGCTACATGTAATTTAGCACTGGTTTTGGTTATAGGTAAGGATTATGAACAACATAAATAGTACACATTGCCTTTTGCCAAAAATGTGGTGCTATTTTCCACTCTTGGAAAGAAATGTTGTTGATACTTGTTGTGGATTGAATTGTGTCCCCCCAGAAAAGTATGTTGAAGCCCTGACTCCAGGCACCTACAGGTGTACCTAATTTGGAACTAGCATCTTTGAGGATGTAATTAGTTAACATGAGGTTATACTGGATCAGAGCATGCCTAAAAACTGATGTTCTTAAAAGAGGAGAGACATAGACACACAGTGGAGAAGGCCATGTAAAGATAGAGACAGGATTGGAATGACGCATCTACATGCCACGGATTGCTGGCAACCACCAGAAACTGGAAGAGGCAAGGAAGGATCCTCCCTAGAGCCTTCAGAGAGAAGAACATGGCCCTCCTGACACCTTGATTTTGAATTTGTAACTTCCAAATTGTGATTTTAAAAAGTTCTGTTGTTTTAAGCTACGAAGTTTGTGATACTTTGTTAAGGCAGCTCTAGGAAGCTGATACAGTACACCTGAACTTATGGAAATGAATCGGTACAGAAATACAGACTTGCAACCCCAGTAAAGATTACTGGCATCTTCCCAGGGGAGCAACAAAAAGGAGGGGTACCACTTCCTCTCTCGCCTCCTGGCTTCTAGATTTCAAGAAAATGGGCCAGTTAAATCTGTTGTTCCTTATTCCTGGGATCCTCAGGAGGACACCCTCTACAGATAACCAGGGTTTGCTGCACAAACAAAATAGTGTTGGGCACAAAATTCAATAAGTCTCATTTAATTGAGTTAAACTGAGCTTAGATGCATAAATTTGCTAATGGCTCTTTTCCGTTAAGAACTTTAAGATTTGTGGTATCATAATGACTAGTCTAGACATTAAAATCATTATAATGTCGTATCTGCAGTTGTTAGAATGTAATGCAGTACAGCTTATTACACAATAAAATATGTGAATTGTAAAATATATTTATCACTAGCACATCCTTTTTTCTTTTCCTGTTAAAGGTTTTAACCCCCACAGATGATTGATTTTGTATACTTTGATACTTTTTTCTGGTTCAAAATTTATCTATTAAATGATTTCAAAATAAATATTTTAAATGACCGACTTGTGATCTACTATAATTTCTTAAGATACTACCACATAGTTCATCTAAAGTATAAAAAGGAAATTTCAATATATTTGCAACCATTTTCCTTTATCAGAAATATTACAACATTGATATTAAACTTTTAGATATTACTTCACAGGTTTATGAAATATTTTACCAATATTCTATGTCCTCAAAGATTCCCTCAATTATGTCAACACATTATTCTCAACTTATTTTACAAGATAAGAAAATAGAAACTAGCATATACTATAATTTCATTTATTCATTTATTCAAAAATAATTAATCACCTACCTGTTCCAGATGCTGTGCTAGGGAAAGTGAGAGAGGCGTATAAGCAATTCATTGTATCAATGTCAAAGGGCAAAAGGACCTGTAAGACCTGGATATTTCCTTAAGAGTCAATTCCAGACTATGGCATTTTCTAAAGCTTCTTATGAAATCAGTTTTTAGAAGCACGAAGATGGGAGATTCATCTCAGAACAGCTGCTAGTTGCGCCAGTTAGTTATGATAGACTTTTGGCCCAAGCTTCATCCGTACATTTTCAAGATAAGAACTGAGTTCATGTTATTTCTTTAACCATATTTCACAGTCATAGGAAGTGAACAGCAATACAAAGTATAGTAAATAATTTTTAAAATTAGCCCTTTTTTTGGTTTTCTTCTTGACAACATGTGGTATTTTTTGGATGTTACATTGAAGTTTTATGTGAGGACAAGAGATTTAAGAATCTAAGCTTAAAACTTTAAGAATGATATTACTTTTATCTTAGGTTGAGTCTCCTAAAATGCAAAGACTAAGACAAGACTTCGGTGCAGTTACTTTATTCAGGACATGGTCCCAGGAAGCAAGAGTGAGGTAGCAAGCAGAGTGAAGCAGAAAGAGGGAAAGTCAATACAAGTATGTGTTACTGAGGTTTCTACTATGGGCATCTGGGGCTCAATTCCATCAGGACCTCCTGAGAAGCTTACAGAACACCTTTCAATTGTTCAAATCTCCAGTGGATCGGAGGCTGGATCTGATCCAGCCTCCAATCCCTCCTTCAATTCCCTCCTTCAACATTAATCCTCCCCCACTGGGTAGCTCTAAGGAATTGGCCTGTAGGCTCCATGGCAGCTCAACGCCCTGGGTAGAAAGCCGAAAGACACCCAATCTGTGGTTAAGGTTGGACTTTGTCAGAGTAAGGTGAGTTACACAAGCCTGTCCACCACCATACAACTAAAATCAGAGGTATACAGAGGGGATTGTGACACGGGGCACCAGAGGCACCTCCTATAACTTTGTTGTTGGGATATTAAAATTATGGGAAATTGGAGGTGACATCTTTGGAGAAACTTACTCACCCAAGAAAAAAGATTTACAGATACCAACACTATAGAAATCTCAATGGGACAGAGACTGCTAGTTACCTATGTTAACATGATTCCCCCCTTCCTTTGCTGCAGTAAGAACCCAATTTCATTTGAGGTAGCAATGCATCCAGCTAAGAGACTACTTTTTGTAGCCTTGCTTACAGCTAGATGTGGCCATGTGTTTAATTTCTTGCCAAAAAGTGTAAGCAGAATACTCTATGGGCTTCTGGAAAGAGACTGGGTACTTACTTTCTCTACGTTCCTCCTTCCTGCTGCCTATAATGCAGATACAATTGCAGAAGCCACCTGGACCATAAGGCACTGGCACTGAGAGAGTGGTGTAGCAAGGTGTCTGTTGCCTACATCCCTGATGATGTGGTGTTGTCATACAAGCCATGGACTGCCACATCTGGCCTTCTCTTACGTGAGGAAGAAATCAATGTTTAGTAATCATCTATTATTTGGGGTTTTTCTCTTACATTTTGACCAAATCTCATTCCAGCTAATACATCACATGAAGTGTCTGAAACCCGCCCCACCTCCCTGCAGTAAAGGCCATTAACTGGCAAGCCCTGTCAGTGCACACATAGTTTCCAGTCAGCTTTCCTGTCTCTCAATCTTAAACAGATTGCAGAGTACAACATATCCAAACATTGTTTAAAAAGCTTCTAATGTCAAAAACAGACACCAAAAAAGAAACTTTGAAGAAATAGAGACAGTCCTGGGAGCAAAAGAGAATGTCAAAATAAACAAACAAACAAAAAAACTTAACATTCTTTAAAAATAAGACATAATTTACATCCAAAAAACATTAACAAAATACAAAAAAGTATACTCAGAGAACTAGAAAGAGCTCTTGGAAATTAAAAATATAACTGAAATAAGAAACTCAGTAGGTGAGCTGGAAATAAAGTTGATGGAAAATAGTAAAGGATATTTTGAAAACGCAGAGATTTAATCCAAGAGTTCCAGTAGATATGTATTCCAGAAAGAGAAAGAGGAAACTGGGTGGAAAGAAATTATCAAAGAAATAATAGAGGAAAGCTTCCTTGAATTGAAATTTTCATAATGAAAGAGCTCTCTTACTGCCAAACAATGTTAATGCAAAAAGACTCACATTAAGAGACATCATTATAAAACTTCAGAATATCTGGTTAACGAGACTTTCAAAATTTTTCAGAAGAAAAAAGAAAAATATCAAGAATCAGAATAAAAGTCTTTTCAACAACAATACTAGATTCTAGAAAACAATGGAACAGTAACTTCAAAATTCTAAGGGAGATTTATTTCAGCCTGATTTTCCATAACCAGAAACAGTCTCAGTCAAGTGTGAGGATGGAATGAATGGCATTCTAGATACGAAAAGATTAGAAACATGCATTTTCCTTGCACACTTTCTTAGACCCTCCATCCCTATTTCCCATAGCTATCTACACATATATTTGCTCCAGTCAGGACAGATTTCCTACAGCTCATTTCCGCCATGGTACCTGTTTCCTGTGGCCTCCCTCCACTCATATGCCTTCTCCTTTCCTCTGTGAAAACCAAATCTCCTACACGTTCTTCAAGAGCCAGTGCAAGCTCCACTTGCTTGAAGCCTTTAGGCCACACACATCTGCAGTGATCTCTCTACCTTTTGACCCTTCTCAGTCTCTAGAATCTTCACATGCATTTTGCTACTTTTCTCATTTTATCTGGCATTAGTCTCTGTATATGTCTGAATTATCCAACAAGATTGGAACAGTATCTTAGTGTGATAGGAAAATAGAAAGTGCTTGGTAAACATCTGATGTTTACCCAGTTAATTAGGATAATCTGATTCCTGAATCAATTGTCTTTTCATGACACCATATTTTTTTTTTTGAGAAACAGACACGGCTTGTTTATTAGAATGCAGAAAGTATCTGTATCAAGAGCAAGACAACAGATGAAATTGTATTTCTCAGAAGAAGCAACAAATTACAATTTCGCAAACATAACAGGTGATTTCAAAAAAGATAAAATTTTTTTACAAAGAAAATTATATTTTTATGCAAATATTTTGGGCTTTCATTCAAAGGAAGATTATTTCATAAACTCTCAAGAATTTATGGATAAGAAAACCTTCAACTTTGCAAGTACAAAAGTAACTTGGAGGCTGACTTTATATTATTTTGAATTCAATAATGAACAATGACTGTGTTTACCAAACAACTGTAGATCATGATTGCAAAATCAAGTCGCCCTAAGAAAAAAAAAGCATATCATGACACACCCCATGGCAAATGTCCTTTTCTGTTTTTAATCAGAGGATGATACAAGTCAACTCATGCCACGTCTCACTATTATTTTCTAAATTCTATGCAAACAGGACAAGGCTTCAACTGAAGAGAGAGAAGAATGAAGAGACTTCTTCTATTTTTGGTCCTTGTAACATTTTCTTCTGCATTTCCCACAGACCGAAAGATGGAATATGAAGAAAATATGCAACTGGCTCAGGTACTGCCTCAATAAATGTTATTAATGACTATCAATAAAACTTTTACTTTATTGATTGTATTGGGACTTAAAAAGACAGCTAGTTCCTACCAAAGAGTCCTGAACTTTCTTGTGAGGAGCTGCTTTTCCTTTCCTTGGCTCTAAGGACATCAAGGAACTTTGAGGGGTGGAGAGTAGGGGTGGGGTGGAGGACAGGCAGGATTTGCTACAACTTTAAGCAATAGTTACAAGTGAAGGGATAGTGAGAGTAGAAAGGGTCAGCTCTGAAAGAATGGAGGTCTCCATAAAAGCATTTGAAGACCAACCAGGAGAACCCAACTATATTTTGGAGCCACTTATCCCTATATGTATGAAAAACACATTGTTTTGGAGATTCCCTGTAAAAATCAGTCCAATTTGCCATGTTTGGTGAAATTATTTACATTTGAAAAATGGATAATCACATCTCCTCTAGAATTTGTTTCAAGGAAACACCAAAATGAAAGTAACAGCAACAATATGTAAGACACAAGATAATTTAACACACAGAAGAAGCTTGCTTCTCTTCTGTGGAAGTTTGGAGTCTCATAGGCTGTATGGGTTTAGCCAGTTCTGGTCACACATAGCTCAATGAGTTCTTGAAAACTGAAAACACAGGTTGACTCTTTGCTTTCTTCTTTGTTTTCTTCCTCTCTTCTTTCTTTTCTCACTCCTTCCTTTCCCTTGTTACTTATTTCCTTTTTCCCTCCTACTGCCGAAAAGGATTGCAGAAAATTTTGTTTTCTCCTGAGATGGAGATCTGCTCTCCTGTAGTCTGTGCCTTTTTTTGTCTTTTTGGTCAGGCATATCTCAACCAGTTCTACTCTCTTGAAATAGAAGGGAGTCATCTTGTTCAAAGCAAGAACAGAAGTGTCATAGACAGCAAAATTCGTGAAATGCAAGCATTTTTCGGATTGACAGTGACTGGAAAACTGGACTCAAATACTCTTGAGATCATGAAGACACCCAGGTGTGGGGTGCCTGATGTGGGTCAGTATGGCTACACTCTCCCTGGGTGGAAGAAATACAATCTCACATACAGGTAATGCTACTGCCCCTAATCTCAAGGAACATGAAAATAATCTCCAAGGAACAGAAATAATAATAGTTTATTTTACCGAGCACTTCCTGTGTGCACGGCAC